GGTGGTTCAACGCCTTGCCGAGAAAGCTGACGAAGATGCGCAACGTCCAAGCACTTGCGTATGTCCAATGTTTTGGCTTAACGCCCAGCGTGGCGCTTCAATTTCATTTTGACCAGACAGGCTGATTGCGCCCCTTGACGTCCGTTTGGGGTGTTCTGCAGACTTGACCCCCTAGCCCTATTCGAAGCTTAGTGGGCCCTGGAAACGACAGGGCCGTTTGTTCTGCCGGTGGTTCCGTCGCCGTTTTTGTTGCCCGTGATTTCGTCGCCGTTGGTTTGCCGGTTCTTGTTCTGGCTCCAATCCCAGAGCCATTTTTGTTACCTTTTCCGGTCGCCGTTTTTCTGCCGATTCCATTTTCGAGAGACATTATTTCGGATATGGTGGAAAAAATGCCCTGCCGTTCCCAGGGCCCACCATCCAGAAGTGCCCGATCCTCTCCTCCCATGGGCGTCGTCGATCCTCGATCGCCGAGTGTCAGGGGAGGAACAGGTGCCCATGTGCCTCTACACTTCCCTCGATTTCCCCCTTTTCGGCCTCCTGGGCGGCCCTCGTCGCCACCGCTGGAGTCGCCCCGAACTTCTGGTCAGAACGCATCCGGGGAGAGGTCCTGGGAGCAGCGGTATCGGTATCTTTTGGGTTCCCCAGATTGGCGGCGAGCGAGGGGGGGGAGTGAGAAGGAGGAGGCCTTCTCAGGAGGCGGCGGGACTTCTCAGCAGCCCTCGCGCCTTGATTCTGAGAAGTTTCTGTCTGTCTTCGGGGGAGGCTTAGCAATCTTTTCAGAAGGCTGGGGGACTTCCGAAACTTCTGAGAAGGCCTTCTCCTTCTCACTCCCCCCCCTCGCTCGCCGCCGACCAGAGTGCGTTGTGTTTCTCAGGGCCAGGGCGAAAAGCGCAGCGGCTGCGACGCGCGCCGCTCGAGTCGTCTCACGAGCAAAAGTGCGTACAAAATTCGGGTGCACGCTGAGCTGACGTTTCCCCTCGCCGTGCGCTCCTGTCCGACGACTGCTCGATATGTGCCTGCTTTGCAGACCTGCCGAGCCACCCTCAGGCGCGCCAGTGCTAGGAGACTACTGTCTCCCGTCGTCGTGCTCGATCCTCGATCGTCGAATCTCGCGCCCAACGCCTCGACGCACATCCCCAAGGTATATCCGTAGCCAGATGTTATAGTACCACCCCATCTCATTCCCGATCTTAAGAGCACCCTCGGTCTCTTAGGGCACGTCCATAAGGTTGACATCGCCTTGGACCTGTCAACCCCAGGGGATGAGCTCGATCCCAGACATCCGGCGTCGTGACTTGTTTCACAACGTGGCTCCCCGGAGGTCTGGACCCCTTTCCCGAGACCCATTTTTACTCCCGAGCTGTTTGTTGACAGTCCTGGTCCCCTTCGAGGGCCCCAGGGAGGCCGAAAACAGGCAGAAACTGTCCGTCGAGATTCTTTTGCGTCGCGAGGATGTCAGGGAGGCAGGCCATCTTCATCGACGCCTGCTCTCGAGCGGGGCTACGAAGAAGATGAATCCGTCCCAGATCGTTCCGGCACGCTCTCAGAGCGTTCCGCAGCGCTCTGAGAAGGCCGCGGCGCCCGAGACATCCTCCCCAGGCATGCGACGTCTTGATTTTTTCAGGACAGCATCCCCGGAAAGCCCGACCTTTTCATTGGGACCGGTTTTTCATCCCGAGTCGTTTTTGCCTGTGCCCGGGGCCTGGCGAGGGCCTCTGGAGGCCGAGAACGGCGAAGAACCTCCGTCATGAATGTTTCACCACGCGATCGTATCTGGGCCCAGAACCTGCAGATCTCCGAGATTCTCGATGCATCCCCGCCCGAAGGTGTGGTCGTCCTGGCTTCGTCTGAGCGTGCCAGAGAGGCCGGCCGTCGTCGTCGGCGCCTGCTCGGTGCTGGCTTTCCGTCGGGCGTGTTCCTCGACAGGAGGACGATTCAAAAATAGTCAAACATAGTATGGGACGAAGTTTTGTATATTGTTGGGTTTTTTTACCTAACAGCGAAGACTGATAGGTTTCTAGTTACCTAACAGCGAAGACTGATAGGTTTCTAGTGGTGTCAAAAGAGAGCATCTGATGACTCAGAAGGAAGGTCTGGGCGGCATCTGGACAGCGAGGGCCGGGCTCAGGGCCGGGCTCGTTTTAAGCAAACAGTCATACACTTCGTGCTCTTCGACCTCCCAGAACTCCATTCCCGGGCCACATTTTGAATACCCGGAGCCAACTGTAGGCCACTTCGTGTTGTTCGACTTCCCAGAACTCCACTCCCGGACCTCATTCTGGATGCCCGGAGCCAACTGTAGGCCACTTCGTGCTCTTCGACTTCCCAGAACATCACTCCCGGGCCACATTTTGGATGCCCGGAGCCAACTGTAGGCCACTTCGTGCTCTTGGACTTCCTAGAACACCACTCCCGGGCCACATTTTGAATGCCCGGAGCTTACTGTAGGCCACTTCGTGCTCTTCCACTTCCCACAACTCAACTCCCAGGCTACATTTTGAATGCCCGGAGCCAACGTTACGCCACTTCGTGCTCTTCCACTTCCCAGACTTCCAAGACTCATCATCTTCATAATCATCATCATCATCACCATCGTCCCCGTAGCCTTCTTGGCTACAGCCCTGCTTTCGAAGACTTCCTTTTCAAAGGAACTGCGCAGCGCCTACTGCGCACCTTAATGCCAGGACATGCTGATAGTTCTCGGTCTGGCGGCGGTGCTCCTGACCCTGCTGCATTGAACAGCGGTGTTCCTCAGCCTGCGGTTGGGAACAGCGCTGCTCCTCAGCGTGCTGCGTTGAGCGGTCCTCTGCAAACGCTCGTCGAGCACGTGAAGCAGTTCGGCCGGATACCGCGGGCTGAAGGCAGACTGATGCTGGGGCTGAAGCAGGCTGAGGCTGAGGCTGAGGCAGGCTGAGGCTGAGGCTGAGGCAGGCTGATGCTGAGGCAGGCTGAGGCTGAGGCTGAGGCTCATGCAGGCTGAGGCTGAAGCAGGCGGATGCTGAGGCCGAGGCTGAAGGCAGACTGAGGCTGAGGCTGAAGCAGGCTGAGGCTGAGGCTGAGGCAGGCTGAGGCTGAGGCTGAGGCAGGCTGAGGCTGAGGCTGAGGCTGAGGCGCGCTGAGGCTGCGGCACGCTGAGGCTGAGGCCGAGGCTGAAGGCAGACTGAGGCTGAGGCTGAAGCAGGCTGAGGCTGAGGCTGAGGCAGGCTGAGGCTGAGGCTGACGCAGGCTGAGGCAGGCTGAGGCTGAGGCAGGCTGAGGCTGAGGCCGACGCTGAAGGCAGACTGAGGCTGAGGCTGAAGCTGAAGCAGGCTGAGGCTGAGGCTGAGGCAGGCTGAGGCCGAGGCTGAGGCCGAGGCTGAGGCTGAGGCAGGCTGATGCTGAGGCACGCTGAGGCTGAGGCTGAGGCTGATGCAGGCTGAGGCAGGCTAATGATGAGGCTGAGGCCGAGGCCGACGGCAGACTGAGGCTGCGGCTGAAGCAGGCTGAGGCTGAGGCTGATGCAGGCTGAGGCTGAGGCTGAGGCGCGCTGATGCGGAGGCAGGCTGAAGCTGAGGCCGAGGCAGGCTGAGGCTGAGCCAGGCTGAGGCTGAGGCTGAGGCAGGCTGAGGCTGAGGCAGGCTGAGGCCGAGGCTGTGACTGCGACTGCCGTTACCACTGCGACTGCCATCGCGAATGAGACTACGACTGCGAGAACAGCAGAATTCTACAATTGGATTCTCATCTGAATCTTAAGGGGAATGCTTCCAGATATGCTCCTACACATCGCTGTTAGGTTGCTTTGCCGGGATAGTGGTGTCAAAAGAGAGCATCTGATGACTCAGAAGGGAGGTCCGGGCGGCATCCGGACAGCGAGGGCCGGGCTCAGGGCCGGGCTCATTTTAAGCAAACAGTCTCACACTTCGTGCTCTTCGACCTCCCAGAACTCCATTCCCGGGTCACATTTTGAATACCCGGAGCCAACTGTAGGCCACTTCGTGCTCTTCGACTTCCCAGAACCCCACTCGTGGGCCACATTTTGGATGCTCGGAGCCAACTGTAGGCCACTTCGTGGTGTTCGACTTCCCAGAATTCCATTCCCGGGACGCATTTTGAATGCCCGGAGCCAACTGTAGGCCACTTCGTGGTCTTCGAGTTCCCAGAAGTCCAATCCTGGGCATTATTTTGGATGCTCGGAGCCAACTGTAGGCCACTTCGTGTTCTTGGACTTCCCAGAACATCACTCCCGGGCCACATTTTGAATGCTGAGGCAGGCTGATGCTGAGGCTGAGGCAAGCTGAGGATGAGGCAGGCTGCGGCTGAGGCCGAGGCTGAAGGCAGACTGAGGCTGAGGCCGAAGCAGGCTGAGGCTGAGGCTGAGGCAGGCTGAGGCTGAGGCTGAGGCAGGCTGATGTTGAGGCAGGCTGAGGCTGAGGCTGAGGCTGAGGCTGAGGCTGATGCAGGCTGAGGCTGAGGCAGCCTGAGGCTGACGCCGAGGCTGAAGGCAGACTGAGGCTGAGGCTGAAGCAGGCTGAGGCTGAGGCTGAGGCAGGATGAGGCTGAGGCAGGCTGAGGCTGAGGCTGAGGCAGGCTGAGGCCGAGGCTGTGACTGCGACTGCCGTTGCCACTGCGACTGTCATCGCGAATGCGACTACGACTGCGAGAACAACTGAATTCTACAACTGGGTTCTCATCTGAATCTTAAGGGGAATGCTTCCAGATATGCTCCTACACATCGCTGTTAGGTTGCTTTGCCGGGATACTTTTAAACATGAATTTAAATTGTCTTTGCTGTTTGAGTTTGTATGTGTCCACAGAGTATGTCCTTTGATTTAATTGTCCTCTAATCTAAGTGTCCTTTGCTTTTCATTTCATTGTCCAAACCGTATATGGTTTGATGCATGTTGATTTGTCCTCCAACATCCCCCTGCAGGGGGACAGGCCCGACCTGATGCTGGCCTTCCGAGCGGCTTAGCGCCGGCGACGGGCAGCGCGCCCTTCCCGGAGCGCGCGCGCGCCGCCAGGCGCGGGCCCCTGCAGCAGGCCGCGGACCGTCCGCCGCGGTCGCCGGGGGGCTCTCGCCCGCGGAGGGGGGGGGGAATCCCTGACGTGGAGGGCTTCTCCGAAGGGCTTAGGCGACCCGTCCTCCTTCTCCTCCTGCTCCTCCTCCTCCTCCTCCTCCTCCTCCTCCCTCCTCCCTCCTCCTCCCCCTCCTCCCTCCTCTCCTCCTCCTCCTCCTCCTCCTCCTCCTCCTCCTCCTCCCTCCTCCTCCTCCTCCTCCTCCTCCTCCTCCTCCTCCTCCTCGGGTCGCCTACGGCCCCAGGGGAAACCGTGCACCCTGACGTTCCTCACAGAGCGCGTTCCACTATTGGCAAAGTGCCGACTCGCAAATGTGAGAAAAACACGCGTGCCTCGAAGTGATGGATCGTGCATCCTTCGCGGCGGATCCAGGCCCTCTGCGAGCAGCCGGTTTGCGAATATAGTGGAGCGCGCTTGTCCAGTTCCAGCAGGCAGCTTAGGACCCTGAGATCCTGGCGATGCCATTTTTCGTTACAACCAGCGTTTTCGCTCCATTTGGGGCCATGGGGCCCTCGCAGATCGATCCGACTCGACGCATTTCGCAGAAAGATGTGGTCTAGGGCTCCAGGCGGGATGTTCTACGATGTTGCAGCTTTCTTTGCCACGTGATCCAGGGGACGCAGCTCCTGGGAGGCTCAATTCAGAATCGGCGCTGGCAGATCCCCTGGCCAAGGACGGGCCCAACCCTGTTTCGTGGACTCCCGAACTATCCGGCTGGATCCCGCTTCGCCCGGGCGAATCCCGCTCGATGCGGCTTCCTCCCAGGTTTGATTTGGCCAAGTCTGTCCCAGTGGCCTCTTCATCGCTTGTAGCAGCCTTCCACTTTTGTGCCGAAGACCTCCCAGGAGGTGCCTCCTAAGGCAGTGCCAGGAGGGGCTGCCTCCTGGGGATCGAGATGTTCCAGGATCGAAGCTCAGGAAGGTTTTGTGGTCACGTTTTGGGGTCGTTTTGGGGGGGGATCTGTAGTGTTCTGGGGACCGATTTCCTTGATGCAGTGTCGTTCCCTTGAGGAAGTGGCGAAAGCCCTAGCGGGGCAGTCGTCACGATTCCTAACGTGTCGGGAAGCCCCCGTGAGAGGAGTAAGTTGGATGAGGAGGGCGTAGGAGGGAGTAGGAGGGAGTAGGAGGAGGAGGAGGAGGAGGAGGAGGAGGAGGAGGAGGAGGGGAGTGAGGAGGAGGAGGGGAAGGAGGTGAGAGGGCGGAGAGGCACAGGGAGGAAACGGGGGAGGGGAGGGGAGAGAGGGGCTGCAGAGGAGGGAGACGAGAGGAGGAGGAGGAGGAGGAGGAGGAGGAGGACGAGCGAGGAGGGCGAGGAGGCCCAGACGAGCGACGGCGCGTGCCTGTTCCACTCGCGGGCCCCACGTGCCTCGCTCCTCTCTCTGGCGGCAGCTTCGCTTCCGCGGTGCAGCTCGGCCAGGCTGCGCAGCCTGCATCTTCGAGCCTCGAGCTTCGACGCTCCAGGGAAGCGAAGGAGGAGGAGGAGCAGCAGGAGGAGGAGGAGGAGCAGGAGGAGGAGGAGGAGGAGGAGCAGCAGGAGGAAGAGCAAGATGAGGAGGAGGGAGAGCAGGAGGAGGAGGAGGAGGAGGAGGAGGAGAAAGAGGAGGAGGGTGGCCCTGGCCGGCCTGGGCCCACGGGCAGTGCGGGGGGGGGGGGTCTCCTCCTGAGCAGGCGGGCCAGTTCTCTCGGAGCTGTGCTCGGCCATCCTGGACGCCCTGACCCCTGGCGCCCCCCCCGCCTGGACGCCCTGACCCCTGGCGACCCCCCCCCCCACCAGATCCAGGGGAGGCGGTCCGGCGCACAGGTCAACCCCCAACCCGCCGAAGGTTGGAACAACAAGTTCGGTGAATTCAGGAGCGGCACGGAGACATGCTGCATAAGGTCAAGACACTGAGCGAAACTGAGACATATGCGTACCTATCGGTCGTTGAAGGTAGGTATTTTGGGAGCCCCAGATTCCAATCTACGTTTGCCGCCTTCCCACTTCGAGAGTCGAGTGGCTTCAACTTTTCATAACTTTTCCGCCCTCTCCAGGGGGCTGGCGGGCACCCAATCTATGTTCAACGCCTTCTCACTTCAGGTGTCTGCCTACTTCTTCCGTCCGATGGGTCAGGTCACCGCGCTGGAACAAGGAACCCTTGGTGTTCGCGAGGGGCTCGCTGTTCTTCAGATGCTTCCATGATTGTTCCTCCAGCGCTTCGCCCTTCGTGCGCCCAGGCGCTTTGGGGTGCCAAGGAGGCGTGTCGCTCCTCGTTTACCGTTGATTTTGGTAGTGGCCTGACTGCACATCGATTCGCGTGGGCCTCAAGGGCGCATGGCGCGAGGGTTCGTGGCAGGAGGGCTCGCGACCTGGAGGGCATCATCATGCGCGTGACTGGACACGCATGTGCCTGAGGGGCTTCCCTATGAGTAACAGTCATTACACCATGGCGTCAGACCTCCCTGAAGAACGCAGTCAAACAATAAAAAGAGCATCGTACTGCGCTGTGCATACGCGGGGCCACTCATCGCCGCTAGGAACATGTTGACCCACTTAGTGGCTTTACCACCGCAATGCCGAATGAAGGCTCCAATGGAGGGCAGAGACCTATCGCAGGTCGCCCCATTTTGACATCAAACCGGGAGAAGTTCGAATTGAGATCTGGAGGACGTCATGGGCGCAATCGCCATTTCGACTTTGAACTGAACGGGTTTTGACTCCTGTCTCGGAGGAAGCATTGGGCGGTACCGCACTTTCGCTTTCGAACCAGAAATGTTCGACTTCAGTAGAAACGGCTTTTTGGAGCAAGTCTCAAGCGAAATGACCGTTTGGATTCGGGCAACACATTTGGCGTTGAGAAATTCCAGTGCGTGAGCCCGAAAAGTCGAAAGTTTGGCTGTCGCGTGGGACATCCTCGAAACAACGATTTCGACCTGATGTCGAAACCCGACGGCCCGAAGTCGAAATGGCGTACCCGCCCAACACCTCATCGACGAAATGCTTCCGACCGACGTCGAAACCCTTGGCCCGAGTTCCAAATGTCGCAGAGATGCCTTCGTGACTCGAGGTATCGAGGCGCACCCTGGCAACCTTGTGCTGGGGCCCCATCGCCGAACGGCCCCTTCCGGAATGTCTTCCGCTGGCAACATGTCGGGGGGTGCTAGATAGGTGCCCCTGCCCAAGGTGCCCCCAGCTTCTCGGTCCATGTTGGAGCCCCTAGGGCCCCCTGGGCCTCGTGATGGGGTGCTCTGGAGGCCGTGCGGGCCTCCCGGGAAGTCCTGGGGGCACCTTGGGCCAGGGGCACTTCCTTAGCTCACCAGCTTCGAACCTATCCCTATCCCTAAGATTTGCACGCCAAAAAGCGATGACAATCTTAGGGATGCGCCCTGAAAAACTAAGGGAATCCCTAAGATTGGCATCGTGATGAGGAGATGCCCAGCATAGGGATAGGGATATGTTCCAGGCTGGTCATCAGCAGCAAACGACAATAGAACCGGCGCCCCGCCGCCGAAGAGGCAGGATTTTGCTGCCGGCTGAACTCACGCAGCAGCTCCGTTCGGGGGGACCACACGGCAGACCAGACGCAGGACCGCATGTGGGAGACCCGGCGGGCCGCCGGCGCCAGACCCAGGGCCAGACGTCCCAGGAGGGCGCTCCGCGGTACAGCGGAGGCCCATGCCAAGAAACACACCCTGCTTGCCTCCAGGGTGCCGTGGGTTTTTTGGGTTTCGATGTTTTTGCCATGAGAAATCAGGCGGTGGCAAACATGGATCAAGGGGGCGTGGATTAGCGACGGGTCCCGTTTCCATGGGAAATTTGCGGATTTCCGACGCCGAGCGAGGCGGCACCAGCCGCATTTTGAGGAGGGCACCTCCCCCGATGGATTGCTAATCCATGGATTTGGCAACCGCGCGCCAAATTCGTGGATCGCTAATCCATGTCTGCGCGCCACCGAGAAAGCTTGACGTGCCCACACCAAAAATCCATGGACGCCCTGGGGTCTCAGGGTTTGGTTTCTCGTGGAAGGTTTCTTGTGGACTGGTCTCCATTGTATGCGTATAAGGAACCTTGTGGGCAAGCTGTGTAGGGAACCGCCCACGCCCAGAGGGCTGGGATTTTTGCATGGCCCATCCTGAGAGCCAGACCCCCCGCATCTGACCTCTCTACTCATAGTGTCGGCTCCCAGAGGTCTGAAAACCGTCGGAAACCGCACACCGTCGGAAACCGCCAGACAACGGGCGAGGACCGTCGAACACCGTCGAACACTAGTTGTGTTTCACCCCAGGCCCCCAGGGGCCGAAAACGGCCGATAACCGCCCGTCGTGCTTCTTGCGGCGCGACGCGACGGGCTCTGGAGGGCCAGGGCGGGGGGGAACGCTCTCTGAGAGCGCAGCGTGGTGACCTCGACGCGGGGCCGCCTGGGGCGAGGGGCGTGGGCCGCCCACCCAAGACCATAGGACGCGGACCCCCACCGAGACGAGCGCCAAGGAGCCGACTGCGCGCGAGAGTTCAGGAGGGGAAAACACACAGACACAAGTAATCGTCGATCCCCAAGAAAATATGGGAATATGTGGGAATTGGGCGGGATGGCAAAAACCCAGGAAATATGGGGAAATAAATCTGGGGGCTTTTTTTTATTTGTGTGTATGTATCTGTGTGTCCCAGGGCCCCTTCAAGAGTGGCCCTTCGCCGGAGTGACCAGGCCTCCCGCTCGCCGAGTGTGAGGAGGAGCAGGAGCAGGAGGAAAAGCAGGAGGAGGAGGAGGAGGAGGAGGAGGAAGAGCAGGAGGAGGAGGAGGAGGAAGAGCAGAAAGGAGGAGGAGGAGGAGGAGGAGGAGGAGGAGGAGGAGGAGGAGGGGGAGGAGAAAGAGGAGGAGGGTTGGCCTGGCCTCCCGGATCGCCGAGTGTGGCGCGACACAGTAGCGTCCTGCGTGCTGGTGTGACTGGGGTCCGCCCGCGGCCCCCCGACAAGCCGCGCACCAGAGGCCACGCTTCCCCATGGTGCACTCCAGAGGGTTTCTCCGAGAGGCCTAGGCGACCCCTCCTCCTCCTCCTCCTCCTCATCCTCCTCCTCCTCCTCTTCCTCCTTCCCCTCCTCCTCCTCCTCCTCCTCCTCCTCCTCCACCTCCTCCTCCCCCCCTCCCCCTCCTCCGCCTCGCGTCGCCTCTACGGCCCCGAAGAACACCGTGCAGGCCGGCGTCCTCCTGAGGTCTGCTCGTCCACCTCGCCCCCAGGGCGGGGCCATCGCCCCGGCCACACGCGGGCGCGCCCTCTGTCGGTCAGAGAGCTGCTCGCCCCACCGCCGCCCCGGACGCCAGAGACCCAGAGCTCCCCGGCGCCATGATTTCCTCATACCCGGACGCGATCGCGGCGTGAAGAAAGTCTGCTCTCCCTAGCGCCGCCCCGGACGCCAGAGACCCAGAGCTCCCCGGCGCCATGATTTTCTCATACCCGGACGCGATCGCGGCGTGAAGAAAATTTGGACGGCGAGTTCTGCCCTGCCTTCGGCCCCTGGGGGCCCTCGCCGGGCCCCGGTGCCGCCACAGAACGACTCAGGATGAAAAGCTGGCCCCGGGGAAAGGGTCTGGACTTCGGGGGACGCCGGCCTGAAAAAATCCGGACGTCGCATGTCTGGGATTTTCTCATGACGTCGATCCCCGGAGGTCTCGACCCATTCCCTGGGACTGGCTTTTGCATCCTGAGTCGTTTGGTTGACGGTTCCGGGGCCCGGCGAGGGCCCCCTGAGGCAGAAAGTGGCAGATCATTTTCCCGCCGACGTTTCTGTGGACGGCGCGAAGGGTCCTTTTGGCACGTTTTGGGGCGATCTTCGGGGCCGATGGGGCCGTGTTTTCTGGCCTCCTGGGTCATCGGCAACAACAAATCCCTTAACCTTAATTGCACGATGAAGACGTGGCCTCACTTGGGTCCCCGTCTTCGCATCATGGATAACACACATCTGGGCGGTTTGGTACGATACGTCTGCGGAAAAGAGCCCCTTGTCCCAAATGGTTGTTTGGGGGCGGTCCTAACTTAGGTTCCCCTTCCCCACAGGGTTTGATGTACTTGTTCTGTTTGTCGCTGGAGGTTCTCAGGCAGCCCGTCGGTCCCCCCACCCACGGGGGGTTGGGAGGTATTTGTTCTGCTTTCCGTGAAGTCGGGCGTGGCCCTCTACAGGAGGGACGTTCACAAGTAGCAAAAACATCGTCAAGGACGTTTTGTTAGTATTTTTGAATACTGTTGAGCATGTTTGGAATATTTTCCATTTGTCCTTCAAGAGCCGCCTGTAGGGGGACACGCCCGACCTAAGTTTAGCACTGGAGTTCCTATGGCAGCCCTATTGGGCTGACCCGCCGCGGCCCTCCTGACGCAAGTCCCCCCAAATGATTTAGGGGCCCCTGTATTGTCTATCGCTGCGTTTGCTTCCTGGGGGAACCAAAAGGTGCTGATACTGCTACTCCCCAGACCTCGCCCGGGGCGCGTTCTGACCAGGATTTAATCGAGGCGAACCCAGCGGCGGCGACGAGGACCTCCCAGAGGCCAAAAAAGAGAGAGAGAGAGAGAGACAACGGGCGAAGGGTAGAGAACTGTGGGTGCCCTTTCCTCCTCCGAGACCCGTTTTGCTTGGTTTGTCGCTGGAGCCCCCGACAAACATATCGGCCTCTGCGTGCCCAGGCGTTTCCATCTGCGGAGCTGGGCCTCCCCGGCGCGAGCGGCCGAACGACCCTTGCGGCGGGACGCTTTGGCAGCGCGGTTGGCCGCCGCAGAAAGCCCTCGCAGGAGCGCTGCCCGCGCAGAGAGGCGCCCCGCAAGCGCGACGCCTGCCGCGCAGTCTTTACAGCCCTGTGGAGCCGACCCGCCGCAGAAAGTCCTCGCAGGAGCGCTGCCCGCGCAGAGGAGGGGGAGGAGGAGGAGGAGGAGGAGGAGGAGGAGGAGGAGGAGGAGGAGGAGGAGGAGGGGAGGAGAAGGAGGAGGAGGAGGAGGAGGAGGAGGAGAAGGAGGAGGAGGAGGGAGGAGGAGGAGGAGGAGGAGAGGGAGGAGGAGGAGGAGGAGGACGAGAGCAGGAGGAGGGGGAGGAGCAGGAGCGCTGCCCGCGCAGAGAGGCGCCCCGCAGACGCGACGCCTGCCGCGCAGTCGTCGCGTGCCCTGTTGGGTCCCGACCCGCCGCCGCCCGCCACCGCCTCCGCGGCGACGAGGGCCTCTCCCGGGAGGCCCAACACGGGGAGGGAAGACGGGCGAAGGGTAGCTCCTCCCCCTCCTCCCCCGACCCCTCCTCCTTCTCCCCCCTCCTCCCTCCTCCTCCTCCTCCTCCTCCTCCTCCTCCTCCTCCTTCCTCCTCCTCCTCCTCCTCCTCCTCCTCCTCCCCCTCCTCCTCCCGAAACCTGTTTTGTCGGCCTGTGGGTGCAGGCGCTCCTCCTCCGAAGCCTGCTTCGTCGGTCGCTGGAGTTCCTCTCGCAGCCCCCCGTGGGGGCCGATACCCGGCGCCGCCCCGCCAGCGACGCGGGCGTCTCCTTCGCGCCCTTCGCGGACTTCGCCCCCCACGCCGCGGCCGCCGACGACGGCCGGCCGCCCACCGCCGAGCGGTGCTCCCCGGCGGGGGCCTCGTTGCGCCGGGGGGCGGCGCGGGGTTCGCCTCGGCGCGCCTTCCCTTTGCGCGCGTCGCTCCGACGTCGAAGGCCTCCGACGCCGAGTCGGCTCGACTTTAGGGGAGAAAAAAGTGCGAGTCGCTTCGGCGCCTTCCTGTGCGATTCGCTCCGTTCCGAGTCGGCTCGACTTTAGGGGAACAAACAAGTGGCATAAGCATAATATGCGAGTCGCTCCGGCTTCGATGGCCTCCGATGCCGAGTCGGCCCGACTTTAGGGGAACAAGCAGTGGCATAAGCATGACATGCGAGTCGCTCCGGCGTCGATGGCCTCCGATGCCGAGTCGGCTCGGTTTTAGGGGAACAAGTCCAGCTCCGATCCGAGAAATCCGCGCGGACCTCCGAGTTTTTATGTTTATGCCACTGTTTGTTCCCCTAGACTGAGGCTTCCGAATTGGGTTCCGATTTCTTGTCGGAGCCTTGCGTCGGGATCGTTTAACCAATCCCCATCCCCATCCCCATCCCCTTCGAGACTCCCACCAAATGACCAGCCCAGTGGGGGATACACCCCTGGAAACCCGAAGGTCCGATTTCCGCCGATCCGACTCGTATCAGCTTCCGATCCGACTTGTCGATTTGCCGATTCGATTGTGGACTTGTCGATTTGTCGATTGTCGATTGTCGATTCGATTTGTCGATTTGTCGATTTGTCGATTCGTCGATTCGTCGATTTGTCGATTTGTCGATTTGTCGATTTGTCGATTGTCGATTGTCGATTTGTCGATTTGTCGATTTGTCGATTCGTCGATTCGTCGATTTGCCGATTTGTCGATTTGTCGATTTGATCCTGGACTCGCCTCGGCGGCGGGGCAGGCGGGCGGCCGGAGAGAGAGAAAGAGAGGTAGACGCCGGCCAGGGTGTCAGCGACCTGGGTGGCCCAGGACCTCACTCGGGGGCAACGATAGGGGGGGACTTTGTGGGCCGTGGAAACGGCAGGGCCGTTTTTTCACCGTTTCCCCAAAAATGTTCCTTGAAAGTGGAAACGGCAAAAAAACGGCGACCGGAAACGGCAAACAAACGGCTCCAGGATTGGAGCCGGAGCCGGAACAGGTCAAACAACGGCGACGGAACCGGCAAAACAACGGCGTCGGAACCGGCAACAAATCAGCAAAACGGAACCGGTGAAAAAACGGCCCTGTCGTTTCCAGGGCCCACTAAGGGGGGGGATAGGCAGAAGGGGGGGACGCATCGACCCCCAATCCACCCGATAGCTCCAACCTGCACAGGAAGGCACGGATTCACGATCGGGAGCCCATCGCCGATCTACCGGCGGTGTATCGCCGATTCCAGGCCGATGCATCGCCCCCTATGCCAGTCCCCCCCCATCGTTGCCCATCACTCAAGCGGTGGCGAAGCATCTTGGCTGGTCTAGAGGCCCACCGAAGAATGTTCAAAGACCCTTCGGTGGTCGGCGCGAGGTGCTCTCAGAGCGTTTCTGGCTGAGACCGTCTCGGTTTAACCCCTCGGGCCTTTCTTTTCTGTCTTCAAAGAGCAGTGTCCGCGGCGGTGCGGACAGCGAGCCCTGTTCAAAATGAAGAGGAGTTGCCGTTGGGTACTGTGCCCATTTTCGCCGTACCTCCTTCGGGCGTCCAAGGATCAGGAGGGGAGAAAACACACAGACACAACTAATCGTCGGTTCTCAGGAAAATATGGGAAAACATGGGAAGTGAGGGGGAAAACAAAAACCCAGAAAATACGGGATCATATTGGGAATCTTTTTATTTGTGTGTATTTACTTGTGTGTCCCAGGGCCCCTTCAAAGGAGGAGCTCGGCGCTGGCCAGGGGTCAGCGACTGGGGTGGCCCAGGATCGGCGGCGGGCGCCGAGGGAGGTTCTAGGTTTTTTCAAGCGTCTTCGGCGGTGTGCCAGCCCTTTGTGGGCCCCGGAAACGACAGGGCCGTTTTCTCACCGTTTCCAAAAAATAGCCCTTGAACATGGAAACGGCAAAATAAAGGCGACCGGAAACGGCAAAAACACGGCTCCAGGATTGGAACCGGAGCCGGAACCGGTCAAGAACGGCGACGGAACCCGTAAAAAAGCGGCGTCGGAACCGGCAACAAAAACGGCAAAACGGAACCGGTGAAAAAACGGCCCTGTCGTTTCCAGGGCCCACTAAGTGCCAGCCTCGTGATGCTAGCCAGCAGCTGCGCCTCGCCGAGGGCGTTCTGGGGGTGCCCGGATCGTCCCGAAGGGCTGCCAGAGACCCGAGTTACGACCAAAAAGCCAGATTCGGCGGCGCGCCCCGGGGGTGGAGTGAGAAGCGTGAAGGGGGGCGGTGGCCGAGGAGGCCGTGTTGCATTTTGATTCTGGCAAGTTTCTCACTTGAGCGACGCAAGAAAAAGGAGTCGTCCGCGCCAGCGTTCGCGGGCAAGCTGCCCGCGTGAGGTAGCGCGTAAGCGTCGTCTTCTCCGACGCAGCGTCTCGCGTTGGCGGCCCGCGCAAGGTGCCGCGTGAGGGCGCCGGCCGGGGGTCAGTGACTGGGATGGGCTCGGATCGGCCGCGAGCGAGGGGGGAAATGAAGTGGCGAAGGGATCTCAGAAGGCGGCGGGACTTCGCAGAAGCCCTCGCGCGTTCTGAGAGGTTCTCTGCGTATTCGGGGAAGGCTCAGATAACTTCTCAGAAGGTCCACCCCTTCTCACTTCCCCGCGCGGGCGCGCCACCTACAGAAATCCGGGTCGCACTTGATCCTGGCAAGTTTTTTACTTGCATTGGGGGGTTGGGGGGAGTGCTTGGCGAGGCCCGAAAGGGAACTCTGGAGCCTGGACTTCACGCAGGGCGGGACGCTCGCCTGCACCTCTGTCACCACTGTTCGGCCCGGCGCTGGGTGAAAAGGCGGCGGAGGGGGGGGGGGGGCGGGCCGGGCGAAGTGCCGGGCAAGTGAACTCGCTCGAGTCTGACGGTGAACCGCCTCCGGAACTGGCGCCAACGACCACGGGAGGGGGGAGCGAGGTCCGACGGGCTGGGCTCGGGGAGGGCTCCTGTGTCTCTCGGCTCCCGACTGGGCATGCTGCTCCAGGCCGACCCCGCCCGGGAGTGGCCCGGGGGAGTGCGGAGCGGATTGAAGCCATCCAGCGCAGGCCCCGTGGCCGCCTCCGAGGAGGAGCGACGACGGCCCAGATCTCCGACGCGTGCGCAGAGGACGAGGGGGAGCCTTCTCGTGAACCAATTAGCCCCTAACTCAGGAGGGAAAAAACACACAGACACAATTAATCGTCGATTCCCCCGAAAATATGCGAAAATATGGGAAGTGGGGGGGAATTCAAAAACCCAATTATGGGGAATCCCTTTTATTTGTGTGTATTGATTTGTATGTTCTGGGGCTCCTTCACTACACCCTGGTAGCACGATGAAGGCGTGGCCTCACTGAGGTCCCCGTCGTTGCCTTACGGGTCACATCGGGACGGCTTGGCTCGACACATCGGCGGAAGAGGCCCTCTATCCCTAATGTCTTTAGCTGAAAAAGACCACCAGGAGATCTTTATTTTCCCTCTGGCAGGTAACGCTTGTTACCCGCCCCCCCCCCTGGGTAACGCTAACGATCGTACGTTTTTCGGGGGTGGAGGGCGGACCCCCCTCCTCTCAGCAGGTATGGCAATTGGTGTGCCGATGGCGCGGGCGCTCCCTGGCGGGGGCACGCCGCGGCCGCCGTTGCCGTTACCCTCCCCCCCACACCCCAGGGTAACAGCCGTTCCTCCAGATTTCGTAATAAAAGGGAGGGGGTCTGGACCCTCCAAGACAAGCCATTTCAGACCTTCCCCATTGGGAGAACCCTCCAAAAAATCGTCCCCAGACCCCCCAGGCCCTCCAAGATAGCCTGGAAGAGTCCCCCCCCCGAAATGAGACCCCCCTCCCTTTATTTTGAAATCTGGAGTACCCAGAAACATGTGTTTTAAGTGTCCAGAGGCCAAAGGCCACCCCTCATTCTCATCACCCCGTCGGTCATCGGCGGCATCTCGCGGCCACCCTTCGTTCGTCGCCAGCAGCACCGATAGGCAGGGGCACTGCCTCGAGATCAGGCTCATCCCCCCGTGCGGAGGCGCCGGGCCACGTGGCACGGGCCAGAGCTCGCAGGTTCGAGCCCTAGGGGGGTGTTATGGTTACGACGAGGAGGATCCGCTGCGGGTAACTAGCCCAGATCCCCTCGCGTCGTACAGAAAGCACGGTTCACGTTGTGCAGGTTTGAGCACAGTGGTGGGGCCATGGTTATGACGATGAGGATCCGCTGCGCGTAAGTAACCCAGATCCCCCCGCGTCGTGAAGAAAACACGGTCAACGTGTTAGGGTTATTTGTTGGCCTCTCAGGGCCCTCGCCAGGCCCCAGGAGCGTCAAAGCTGCTCAGGATCAGGCTGGTGCCACGGCTTGGCATGCGGGCCGGGACGCGCTGCCGGCCAGCGAGCGGCAGGCGGCCGCGCGCGGTGCCGCGTCCGACGAATCTGGCGAGGGGAAGACAGCGCGGGCCGCGCACGGGCAGGAGTGCCTGGGCCTCCCAGGATGAGGAGGAGGAGGGGAGAGGGAGAGGGAGAGGGAGAGGGGGAGGAGGAGGAGGAGGAGGAGGAGGAGGAGGAGGAGGAGGAGGAGGAGGAGGAGGAGGAGGAGGAGGAGGAGGAGGGAGGAGGAGGAGGAGGAGCCCCCCCCCATTGAATGACGCTCAAGGATCGTGCCGAATCACCGATGCATCGGCGATGTGGCTCGATGTGGAGCCCGATGTTCTCCACGCCGACGGCTCCAATGCGTCGCCGACGTCGCCGATGCATCGCCGATGTGTTGCAATCCTCCGATCCTATCGCCTCGGAACCCATCCAGGAGGCCTCTGGCACGGGCGAGAGTGAATCTTCACAAAAACCATACGCGGCGTTGCGGCGAGACTCCAATCCCGCCTTCTCTCCCGGGCGGCATCATTTCCCGATGAGCGAGGCAACGACGCACCGTGCGCTGCGCCGAAACAAAGCTGCCACGTTCACGCACGAATTGCGGCGCGCATTACCGAGGGTAGCATTGCGCCCGCCATCGGTTTGCCCCGCGACAGTCGGACCGAGGTAAAACATCGAGGTCGGTTCGGGAAGGTCACCCTGAGGTTCTTCGTGTGGATGTTCTTCTGTCCTCGGTCCGAGCGTGCCGCTTCTGTTTTCTCGCGGTGCGGTGGGCGACACGTGCACCGCCCGAGCGGGAACGCCACTTCCGGGCGCAGAAGCTGCACGGATCCCTTCTCGGGGCGAGGGCGGCAAGAGGCGCCCGCTCGCGCACGGCCCCGCCCCAAACGGCACGGAGAATATGCGCCGCACCGATGCGGGAACGACATTGTGCACACAAAACTTGCGCGCTGCCGGGTCGAGATCGGGAGGGAGAAGTGGTATCAATAACACGCTGCCGTTGGCAGCCCATCAGCGTGTTGTTCCTTCGTATGTGTCGGAAGGCCTGGCGTTTCTTCAACAGCAGCACGCTGATGGGTTGCACACGGCGGCGTGTCATTTATATTCTGTTTTTTTTCCTCGACGAGAACTACAGTTTGCAAGCGTCCCCGCTTCCGACGAACTGGTGAGCGAAAGTGTGTGCCGCGCCTGGGCGGGAGGGTCGTTCTCAGGCGGCATGTGCGCGGCGCCGAGGCGAGGGCGACATGATGTCGACCTGCTGCGGACCGTATCACTCCCACCACGCCTTGAGCAACGCCAACGGCAAGACGTCCTCGTGGAAAAGGGCAAAGGTTGACTTTGTGCTGATGTCTTCGTCCTGGTTGTGAAGGAGCTGCCCAGGTTGGGGCACTACTGTGGGGGCCCATGCCAAGAAACACCCATCTTGCCTCCAGGGTGCCCTGGGCTTCTTGGGTTGCGATGGTTTTGCCATGGAGGGCGTGCCGTTCCCACACCAAACATCGATGGACGTCCTGGGTCTCAGGGTTGGGTTTCTTGTGGAAGGTTTCTTGTGGATTGGCCTCCACTGTGTGAAGGAGCCGGCCTGATTGGGGCACTACCGACTGGCCAGGTGGCCAAGTGGGAGTTAGCACGCCTGTGGAACAGCAGGATCAGGAGCTGTTTTGGCCCAAGATTGGGTCAACCCGCAGCGCGCACAAAGCGGTGGCTCGAGTGTGGAGGTGCCTTCCAAGATGGCGGAATGTTTCTTAGAAAGCAGGGGCTTCCTATGAAGGCCCCTCTGGAGACTTTTAAGAAGGCTGCCCGCGAGCCGCCAGGCGCTTCTAAGGGGGGGCACGCCTTCGAGAAGGGCCTCTGTCTCCTTACCAGGCCCACATGTTTCGCCACCTCTCTGTGCGCGCCGCCAAGTCAAGGCCAGTGGCGCCCTCGCTCGGGCTGCCTCCGCGGCGGACCACCCCTCGTTATACCGCTTGGAACCGGCTGCGGGCGATGGCGGGACGCAGCGCCGGAGATGGCTTCGGGGTGCTTGCGGGCACCGCGGACAAGGGCTTCGGCCCCGAGGACTACGACGACCTCCCCTACCACGAGACGCTGCTCTGCAACAGGTGCCCTCCCGACAAGGTTTGCTCCGGTCCCCGCGGGTGTGGCTTGCTCTTCGTGCACGACACCAGGAGCAGAGGAAGAAACAGCTGCCCAAACACAGGTTTTCGCAGGTCCGAAAAAGCATGTCTTTCAGGTCGGCGCGCCCCAGTGGGGCTACCGATGCGCGGATCCGCGCGGACCTCCCCAAGTTTGGGCTTCTTGCAGCTTCTCGCGGACGGCGCCAACCATACACCCACACCGATCCTGGCCAGGCCGATCCCGGGCCCTGGATCGGTGCATGCGCCTTCCCGCCCAAGCCAGGCGGGCGCATGTGCCGATTCTGTGCCCAGGACGAGCCTGGCGAGGATCTCCCTCCCATACAGCCGGGGCGTTGACCTAAGGAACGATAAGTAAGGAACGAGGCCCCTTTTTTCCTTAAGTTTAACTTCGTTTTCCGATCGTCTAAGGGACACGGAGCCCCTCCCAGACGAAAGGGGTTCCTTCTTCAGGCCCCCGACTGTATCCCCACCTCTCTCGCGACGCGAGATTCTCGCTCGCGAGCGGCCCTCGCTGATCCTTGTCGTTTTTCGGTCGCGACCCAGTCGTCTGTGCCGTTCCACCGCGGCCGACAAGCGGGATCGGCCGCGCCCGGCACACCGTTCGCGAGCGGTCGGGACTCTCGCGACCCCATCTGGGATCGGTCGCGACCGCTCGCGACCGAAACCGGGGACCCGTCGCGATAACATCGGCACTGGGATCCGCGACCGAAACTGTGGCATCGGCTGCGCGCATACCCCGACATGTGACATTCGGATCTTGTCAGGACGGCGTCCCCGGAAGTCCCGACCCTCTCCCTGGGGCTGGTTTTTCATCCTGCTTCGTTTGTTGAGGGCCCCGGGCCCGGTGAGGGCCCCAGGGTGCCGAAAATAGGAAAAAATTGGCCGCTCTGTTTTTGTTTTTTCTTTATGCGACGCGATCGCGTCTGGGTATGCGAGGGACCCGTCGCTGGAGTGGCCTCATGGTGCGGGCCCGCGGGGGTCCCGCCAGCACCGGCCGGCGCGTCCGGGCTGCGCTATTTTGGGGCTCTCCCCCCGCGGCCCCCTCAAGCCGCGCACCAAAGGGCACTCGTTTGCCTCGAGTCGGGCGTGTCCCTCTGCAGGAGGAGCATTCGAACATGTTACAATGTTCCAACCTACTTTGGCCTTGAGCACCTGAAAGTACCGAGATTAATTGGAGGGTTTTCACGTGTCGAGCCCTGGGGGACACTTGTCCGACACTGTTTCGACACTGTTTCGATACTCTTTCGACACTTTTCCGGGTGTTCGTCCAAAATCCGCATGTAGGAGGACATGCCCGACCGAAGCTTTGGGTCATTCCGGCGTGCAAACGGTCTTCTTCGGATGAGGATCGGGCGGGGCTGGGACGAGGACGAATAATCAGTTCCAGAGCGCTCCACAGCGCTCTCCGAGCAGCTCAGCGAAGGATCCGAGAAGGCCGCGGCGCCCGAGACCTCCTCCAGAGCCGCCGGATCTCAGAGCCCCCCGCTGCATGCCAAGACATGCGACGTCTCCTGGGGCCGGGTTGTCATCCTGCGTCGTCTTGACGGCCCCGGGGCCCGGTGGGCCGAGCATAGTGAGCAATGTGCCGTACTGATTCTTCTCGGCGCCAGCATGTCTGGGAATGTCTCCTCGTCCTGGCGTCGTCTCAGAGGAGGGTCCTGCCCGAGGGCGGCGCCCGGCGCGCCGCCGCGCAGGCCTGCTTCCCCGCGGCTGCTTCCCGCGGCGCCGCGGCGGGCGCTGGGCTCTGCCCGAAGGTCGGGGGAGCCCAATCTCTGGGGCTCGTTTCGATTCCTCCAGTCCGATTCGATTCGGGTCGATTTCGACTCCGAGCCCGCTTCGATTCGGGTTGGATCCCGATTCCTCCCGATTCGACTTTTCCTGACTCGGCTGCCGATTCCCGCCGATGTCGATCGCCGATCCGACTTATCGATCCGGCGACGCCCCTGGCGCGCTCCGCGCGCCAGGGAGAGGGATCCAGCGCAGATCCAAGAAATCCGCGCGGAGCGCCAAAAGTTTATGTTTATGCAGCTTCTGCTTCTGCTTATTATTCTTCTTAGTTGTATGAGTACTTTTTAGTAATAGCATTTTTATTGTTATTCGGTTGTTGCCAGTTTTCTTTTTATTATTTGGATGATTGCGTGTAGCTCATCGATTAGGTTTCTGGACGCCACGGCCTACCCGCCAGGTCCTAGGTCGGCCCGGACATTTGTCCGCAATGGTGGCACGCTTCGCTCGCTTCGATTTCTTCTTATTTATTATGGCTCTTATTCTTCTAATTTGTCGGCAGGGTAGGTTGTTGGTGATGTCCGTTGCTTTTTAGTTTTTTTTCACTTGTCGCAGCGGGGAGGGCGCGCGGAGGCTGTGCGTGGAGACATCTTATGTCAGAGGTAACTCGTAAAGAGGTACCGGCCATGCCCAGGATCAAGTCGGAATATGCAGACATCGTGCAAACACAGTCTGGTTCCATTTGCTTCACCATGTTTGACAATTTTGGGTTTTGCTTTGAAGATGTTTGATTTGTTATCCAAGATCCGCCTGTAGGAGGACACGCCCGACGTTAGCCTAGGACTGTCAAGCTGGGCCGCGAGACGGGGGGTGCGAAGTCTGGTGCGTGCCGGTGGTCTCTTCCCCGCCGCCGGGCCCATTCCTCGACGCAGCGGCGCCTCCCGCCGCCGGGAGGCGACAGGAACACCAATGTACGGAAGGTGGTGTTCCTTCTTTCCCTTTGCTATACTACCCATTGTTCATTCCTAATTACTAAACTGGTCTTTAATTTGTTTGGGGCCAAGATCCTTTCATTTCTAATTATTCTATCCCAGGCCTCTTCCTGGCCACTGGGGGGCTGGAAACAATTAGGAACGAACATGTTTAGAAATGAGCACGATTAGAAATGAACGACGTGTACCCTTTCGTCCCTCCGGCAATCGGAGGCGACGATAGGGACGAATAGCCCAGGGGCGGCCACTACACGTGCTCGTCGGGGAGCCTCGCCAAACGCATGGACCAAGGGACGAGGTCTTGTATTGCGAACGCCTCTGCTTGTCTTGGTTGGAATGCACATCGGCGAATGGCGCCCGAGTAGCGCCATCGTAGCGCCCAGCAGCGCCCACTAGTGCCGAATAGCGTTCAAATAGCGTCCAACAGCGACCAGTAGCGCCCCAAATCGTCATGTGAGGGTGATGACTCATGTCCGCTTGGCGCGCGATTGGTCATGCTATGGTGCGCCATGGGGACGGCAACAAGATTCCGTGAGTTGGTTTCTTGAGGAGGGGTCTGAGGCAGCTGTGGTTGATTCTTGAATGCTTCCTCGCCCCGGGCGGGGTGTTTTCCAGCAGCCGCGCCTCGTCGAGAGCTTTCTGTGGTGGCCCCGATCTTCCCGAACGGCCTCCAGAGACCCGAGTCATGGAACGAAAACCAGGCGACGAGGACCATTCGGGAGCGTCCAAGGGGCCAATGGGGGTGATGAGCACTTCGGGGTGCTCCTCCTCCTCCTCCTCCTCCTCCTCCTCCTCCTCCTCCTCCTCCTCCTCCTCCTCCTCCTCCTCCCCCCTGGATATCATGGCTGGGGCCATGGGATTTCCCCGATGCCACGGCCTCTTGACCTCTCTCAGCACCGTCCCCTCCCCCCCCTGTCCCGCGCTCCCGTGACTCGGGCCATCCCCCCTCCCCGTCCCGCCTCACCGCTCCTCGTGCCTCGTGCCTGGGCCGTGATTACCTCTTCTTTTATTTCGCGATCGACTTTTTTTGTCTATCATCCTTATTATCGGTCTCTCACTATCGACCTCACTATCGATCTCAATATCCATATCACGAATGTTCGAACCATCCACTGATTGGGTTTTTTCTCTGGTGTAATATGATCCTTCTTTCATCGCGTCCCCTTGCTCCCCATGGACCTCCCCGATGTCGTGGCCCCTTCCCATCTTTCAGCACAAGCCTCCGCTTCACCCCCCTCCCTCGTCCGCGCACATGCCTCGGACCACGATCCCAGACCCCCGACGCCTTGATGCTTTCACAACGTGGACCCTGAAGGTCTCAACTCCTTCCCAGGGGCGAGTTTTTCCTCCCGAGTCGTTCTGTGGGCGGTCCCTGGGCCCGGCGAGGGCCCCAGACTGGGGAGACCCCTCCCGTCGTGTGTTGTGTGCTAGCTCCGCGAGGGGCCCTGGGCTTGGCTTCCCTCTTCAGCGCACCCGATGCTGAGGTCGAGCTCTCCCCGAAGGCCAGCGTGGCGCCGTCCGCGACGGCGGAGACGGCGACGCCGGCGTCGTCCGCGCCCTCCGCGGCATCCGAGGGCGACGCCGCAGAGGACCCTTTCTCGCCTCCTCTCGCCCTCCCCCTCCTCCTGTTATTCCTCCTCCTCCTCTTCCTCCTCTTCCTCCTCCTCCTCCTCCTCCTCCTCCTCCTCCTCCCCCACTCTCCTCTCTCCTCTCTCCTCCCTCCTCCCTCCTCCCTTCTCTCGCCCTCCCCTCCTCCTCTCTGCTCCCGTTGCGGCTGCGCTGCCGCCGCCGCCGCTCCCCGCAGCCTCTTCGGGGCTTGCTGCGGGGAGGCCCGCAGGGGCAGCGAGAACCCGGCCAGGATCCGGACGCGCTTTGCCCAGGTGGGCAGACTTCGACAGCGGCGGGGGCCTGCGATGGGGGCGGGGTGAGACGTCGGGAGGCCCTCCGGCGGCCCCCGGGCCTGTTTTGGGATCCTGCGGCTGTTTCCGAGGACGGCTCTCATTGATTATGTGGGAGCCAGGAAGCTCAGAGGACAACTTCTCCCCCCCCCCTCGCGCCTTCTCTCAACCTCCACCTCCTCTCTTCTTTTCCTCCTCCATCCCCTCTTCTTCCCCATCTCCTCTCCCTCTTCCGCCCTCCTCCTCCACCTCCTCTTCTCCGTCATCTCCTCCTCTCCTTCATCTCCTGTCCTCCTCTCCCCCACCTCCTCCGCTCCTCCTCCGTCGAGAGCTCCCTCTCCTCCGTCGAGAGCTCCCTCTCCTCCTCCTCCTCCCCCCCCTCTCCCTCTCCTCCTCCGGGTGCGCCCTGTCGGAGCCCAGCGGCGCCTGGCCCGCGGAGGCCGAGCCGTCCGGCGACACCCGCGTTACCCCACAGGTCATGGGCCTGGCTGCCACCACCACCACGGCCATAATAATCTGGAGGGGGGGAGGAGGAGGAGGAGGAGGAGGAGGAGGAGGAGGAGGAGGAGGAGGAGGAGGAGGAGGAGGAGGAGGAGGAGAGGAGGAGGAGGAGGGAGGAGGAGGAAGAGGAGAGAGGAGGAGGAGGAGAGGAGGAGGAGGAGGCGAGGGAGGAGGACGAGGAGGAGGGCCCCCCCCCCAACCCTCCTACTTCTGGTGGTGGTGGTGGCCAAGACAGGCCCACCAACAGGCCTCGAGCGGATTGGGAGGGAGCGTCGAGCGGCGGAATGGCTGCGCGTTTGCTGGGCCTCCCCAGACCACATCGCGCCCTCGGAAACACAAAGATTGGAGGTGTTTCCTTCTGTTCTGCATCTGGGGGCGCGCCGCGCCGCGGGACCGGCAGAAGACGTCCGTCCGTCCTCCTCCTCTTCCTCCTCCTCCTCCTTCTCCTCCTCCTCCGCCTCCTCCTCCTCCCTCCTCCCTCCTCCATCCTACCTCCTCCCTCCTCCTTCCTCCCTCCTCCCTTCTCCTCCTCCTCCTCCTCCTCCTCCTGCTCCTCCTCCTCGTCCTCCTCTTCCTCGTCTTCCTCCTCCTCGTCATCCTCCTCCTCAGGATGCAGAGCCGATCGCCAGCAAGGGACCGAGACTTCACTGCGTCCACGGCATCACAAAAGTCACGAAGGCGGGGTTTGAGTCCAGTGTTCTGCACTGGCAGCGTTCCACTATTCACAAGGTGCCTACTCGCAAACGTTCCCCAAAACACAAGTCTTCCTCTATGGAATGGATCGTACATCCCCCGCGGCGGATCTAGGCCATTTGCGAGTAGTTCCTTTGCGAGTAGTGGAGCGCGCTCGTCCAGTTCGCTCGCTATGCCCCAGGACCGTCAAAAACAGACTCGGGATGAAAAGACGGCTCTGGGGGCCAGGGTCAAGGATTTCAGAGACCTCGTCTTGAACACAATCTGGAGGAGCGCCAGTTGAGATAATGGCGACTATCCCAACCGGCCACAATCCGCTCAAGATCGCCCCTCCCCCCCGTGACCCCTGCACGAGTCCGTCCCGACCTGTCTCTCCTGGCGGATCCAGCCGTGGCGACGAGAAGCATCCAGGAGCGCCAGGGAGTGTCGCCGTTGTCTCGTCTGGCCCCCCTCATCAGACCCCCGACGCCATGACTTCCTCACACCATGGTTCGCCAGAGTCAGGAGGGGAAGAAACACACAGACACAATTAATCGTCGATCCCCCGGAAAATATGGGAAAATATGGGAAGGGGTGGGGAAGACAAAAACTCAGAAAATATGGGAAAATATGGGGAATCGTTTTATTGGTGTGTATTTATTTGTGTGTGTTGTGGGCCCCTTCACAGAGGCCTCGACGCATTCCCCTCTGAGCGCCGCGTTCTCCCGAGCCCTTCCCTCGAGGGCCGCCGGGCCCTGCGATCCGATGTGGAGGCAAACTGGCAGCATCGGGGGAACATCCGGGCCTGGAGGCCTGGACCCCTTCGTCCTGCAGGAAGAAGGGGTCTGGGGCTCCGAAGAATGCCGCATGCGTCACTCTTCTTCCGGCTCGAAGAATGGCGCATGCGCCATTCCTCGGGCCGGATCGATCTGTGAGGGTCCGGGGACCCGAAGACAGGCGAACAAGCGCCCGGCTCGAGAAGAAGTCGAGCCGCCAGGACCTCAGGGAAGTCCCAGAGTGGCAATTTAAGGGCAAGCATCCGCCGCGATTCGTTCACGACGCGAGGGGGTCAGGGCCCGCACGTCGGACCTCCGTCAGGAGGGAGAACACACACACACATACACACACGAACACATTGAATCGTCGATTCCCAGGAGCACATGGGAAACTATGACAAGGGGGAGGGGGGGGGAGACGAACACCCAGAAAACAGGGAAGATCGGGAATCCTGGGATTTTCGTCTATTGATTTGTGTGTCCCTGGGCCCCTCTTCAGTCCGGGCCCGCGCGTCGGACCCAGGAAAGTATCGGAACGGGGGGGGGGAGACGAAAACTCAGAAAACATAGAACATATGGGGAATCCTGGGATCGTCGTGTATTCATATAATGTATATATATATATATACATATACATATATATATATATATATATATAATATATATATATGTGTGTGTGTTGTGTGTGTGTCTGTGTGTGGTGTGTGTGTGTGTCTGTGTGCGCGTGTGTGTGTGTGTGTGTGTGTGTGTGTTTGTGTGTGTGTGCGTGTCCCTGGGCCCCTTCGCAGTCCGCGGCCCGCGCGTCGGACCTCCGGGCAGGACGACCTGCCCGGCGCCGCGGGGGCGGTGCTGCCCCTCGAGCGGGCGCTCGCGCCCGCGCCCCGGCAGCAGGCGGCCGGCGTCCCTGGGCGGCGCGGGGCGGGCCTGCAGAGGCACGGGCAGCGCCGGGGATCGAAGCAGAAAAAACAGCAGAATATTTTGATGTCGGGCCTGGGGGCATTTTCGACGAACAATAAAACATACCCCAAACATGCCCCAAAGCGTCAAAACATATTCAAAAGATGGTCCCCAGACTATTTTTGGGTTATTTTGGGGGTATCTGGTACTTTTCGTCGAAAATCGGGAGCGGAAAAGAGGGGGGTGATGACTAGGGGGGTGGATGTCATGGCGCGGGCCATGATGTTTCCTCTGCTTTCATGGCGCCTCTTCTTCTTTCATGGCGTCCCAGGCCCCCCCGCTGGGCCGCGCACGTGCCGCCGGTCATGAGTTGCACCCCCCCCTCTTGGACACCCCCCTCTTGGCCGCTCCCGATTAAGGCGGGCGTGTCCCCCTACAGGGGGATTTTCGACGGAAGATACCCCAAAAGTGCACCAAAAACGTCAAAACATATTCAAAAGATAGTCCCCAGACCATTCTTGGATTATTTTTGGGGTATCTTTTATTTTTCGTCGAAAATCCCCCCTGTAGGGGGACACCCCCGATTTTTAAATCGAAGCAGAACAAAACAAAATAATCTATTCCAAATCCCTTATGAATCGACCCCCCCTGAAAAACCGGACCGCCCCCCTCCAGGTGCGTCCTGATGTTTCGGCCCTCTTCGACGACGGGGCGCCCCAATCAACCGGACCCCCTAGGCTCTAATCCGAAGCAAGCGCCCGAATAAACCGGACCCCCCCAACGAAAAATGCGATTTGGGACATACATAACATGTTCGGCGCTCCGCGCGGATGTCTTGCATGCGCGTTGGGCCCCTCTGGCGGCGCCTCCCGCGCAGCCCCTGGCGCGTTCCGCGCGCCAGGGGGTCCGGCGCCGCTCCAAAAGGTTATGTTTGTAGCTTTTTTTTGTAGGGGAGGAAGCGCCAGCTTGTTATGTAGCTTTTTTGTATTTTTTTTTAGCTTTTTTGGTAAGGAAATGCAGCTTGTTATGTTTGTAGCTTGTTTTTGTTATGTTATGTTTGTAGCTTTTTTTTGTATGTGTTATGTTTGTAGCTTTTTCTGTAGCTTTTTTTTGTAGGGGTCCTGCGCCGACGTTGGCGCGCCAGCTGCCCGCGGAAGGTCGCGCGCAGAAGGAGCGCCCTTGTGCCTCCAGTGTGGCGTGCCGAGCTGGCGGCCGGCGGGAGCCGCCGCGCGAGGATGCCGCATGCCATCTCGCGTAAGTCGGGAGCGGAAAAGAGGGGGGTGATGGCCAGGGGGGGTGGATTTCATGGTGCAGGCCATGCTTTTTCCTTAGATTTCATGGCGCCTCTTCTTATTTCATTACGTCCCAGGTCCCCCCGCTGGGCCGCGCACGTGCCGCCGGTCATGAGTTGCACCCCCCCCTCTTGGACAGCCCCCTCTTGGCCGCTCCCGAGTAAGACCCGTTGTCGATCGTCGCCCACATTGGGGGGGTCGCTTCGAGACGGAGACTGCTTGTCAGGTTTGAGTCGGGCGTGTCACTCTACAGGAGGGAGATTCAACATAGTTTGAAAGTAGTCGGGGGGGTGCTTAAAGAAATGCGGACGCCTTTTTTCCTATTATGTTTGACAAAGTCTACATATGTGTCTGGCTATTCTTCATCTTACTCCACAACCCGCCTGCAGGAGGACACGCCCGACCTAACGCAGGCACGAGATTCCTATGTCCTATGGTGTGCGTACATACCTGCATCTACGTCTAAAGAAAGACGAGATCTTCGCGGTCCGAGGGCGCTCTGCCGCCCGCGGCCTGCTCCCTCCGCCTGCGCCTGCCCCCCTCCCGGGAGGACCAGGCAGGCCCCGCGGGGTCGTCCCTCGGCTGCCTGGGCCGCGTCTCGGACTCAAGCCGCCGCCGCCAGAGCGAGTTATATATATATATATATATATATATATATATATGTGTGTATATTCGGAGTCGAGCGCTGCAGCCACAGGTCAGAGAGCGTTTTTGTTCCTCTGGCGGGTAACGCTTGCTACCGGCCCCCCCCCCCCGGTGTAACGCACGCTAACGATGGCGCAGACGCACCCTGGCGGGCGCACGCCGCGGCCGCCGCTACCGTTACCCGCTGCCCCCCCCCCCCCCTCGGGTAACAGCCATTCCATTCAATAGTAAGGATACAAAAAAATCAATCTCTGATCGGACCCGCAGGCCCCCCCTTTCCCCTCATCACCCCCCCTCCCCTCCCCAGATGACCTGAGCTTGTCGGTTGAGCAGGTCCGCGTGTGGTACGCAGCACCGGGTGCGCGCGGGCATACGGCACACGTGGGGCTGCTCACTGGGTTCATGCTAGGTCATCGGGCAACACCTCTTCGCCCAGCGGATCTCTTGGGTTATCGCCGGAATAACCCAGCGCCAGCGAGAATAAGTCCGCAAAGGTAATCAAGTTCGGGGTCCAGGAAGGATAATGCATTGTTCCCTGAGATTTCGGTGTAAGGATGTCTGAGTCGGTCTTCAGAAGGCTCCATGGTTTATCCTCGATGATCCGTCTTGGGGGCCTGCGTGGAGATGTGGGATGAGCACAACTTCTATGTCACAGGATGGTGAAATTGTTCATTGCTCCCTCCCGGGCTGGCTCCTTGGAGATGTCTGATGAGCACAAATCTTGTGAATTACTATGTTGACATACGATGGTGGAGAGCTGCGGTAGGAACTTCGGGGGTGATCGTAACGTTCGGCCTCACCGCCTGCTGCAGCAATTTTCCACATTCAGCCCCAGGAGTAATCTGATATAAGACTTAATGGGTGGACTCTTTATCATCGCCAGCATGCGGTTGCACAAAAAAGTATCTTGCCAGGAGATGTGTCTTGGCCGATTGAGCAGAAATCGCCCAAGTTCAATGTGTCGTCGGGCCCCACCTGGGACGAAAGATAGGATCCCCCTCTGCTCCTTCATAGGTTTGGGGTCCTCGAGTCCGCTAGCCAGCTCGACGCCCAAGGATGTGGTAGAGGGCAGTCGTGTTTGGGCCGTTAGGGGCTTTCGGCATCGACGAACGCTTCCGACGCGCAGAACATAGCATAGCCACATGGGGAGTGGCAGAAAGGGCCTCGAGGCCTTCGATGGATCGAGAAGTTGACATCTTTCGGGCCGAACGAAAGGGGGGGATAGGGAAAGGGGGGGTTACGAAACCTGCTGCATGCAGCGGGTGTCCGCCCCTCCGCCGGGCCCATTTCTCGATGCCTGGGCGCCTCAGGCGCCGGGAAACTTAGCTACGCGAGCTGGTTCTCAAACCCCCGCTCTGCCATCCCCCCTCGCCCGGCCCGACTCCTCCTCGGCGGAGCGCGGCGGCACAGGTCGGCGAGAAGGCGGGTGGAGGCAGTCTTGGCAGCGGCTGCGCCGGCGGAAGCCGCCGGAGGGCTGGCGAGAGTGGAGAGTGCGTCCCCGATGAGGTGGTGTCGCATTTTGGGGTTCAGGGCTTCTGTCGGGTAGAGCCAGGACCCCAGGTAATGGAGGATGACGATTAATAAATGACCGGGGGTCGTGTTCACGCGGCGGCGCCCGGGATGACGATTAGAAAAAACCGGCCGCGGGCTGGAAAACTACTGTTTTAAATCGTTCTCCTCCAGTCAGAAAATTATGCAGAAATAGCAGAAAACTATTTTTTTATTGTTCTCTCCAATTTTTTATTAATCGTCATCCCGCATTAAGGGGACCCGGTTAGTGGTAGAGCCCTGGAGCCTTTGAATTGGCCAGAAGCACTAAGCCAGGTCTGCCGTAACCTGTGTTTTTTGGGTAACGGCAGGTCCGGTTAGTGGAACGGGGCGGGGGGGGCGTCCCCCAGGACACATCACTAACCCAGTTCTGCCAACGCCCGATCCAAGGCGGGCCATGCGGGGCGTCGCCGCCTTCTCCTCAGGATCGAGGGCTCTTGAGGAGGAGGGCCGGGGGGGAGGAATATCGAGGATCGAGATGCTTGGTCGGATGAGTTTTCCCACGGGACCGTGCCGGGTGTGAGGGCGTCCTGGGGTGTGTTCCACCTCGTTCTCGGTAGGGGATGACGGCCGCAGAGGTGACATATTTTGGCACTGCCTCGGAGGCGCTGCCAGTTCTCCGGCGACGGCAAGCGCACTACGCCGCAGCGACCCTGGAATGCCAAGGATGCTGCACCTGCGAACGCGGCCGTCGGAGTCAGCAAGCCGCCGATCTGCAAGCATTGGCGCCTCTTCACGTGCAACCTCAACGGGAGGTGCAAGTTCCGACACGACGGGCCCGGCGGGTGCGTCCCCAGCTCGCCCGTCGGCGAGGAGCCTTCCAGCCGGCACAGGAACCTGGACCCCGCAGAGATCGAAGAGCGCCTCCTGAGGGAAGGGGGCGGCGCCGAGTGGAGCGGCGAGAAGGTTGCGGCGGCGGCAAGGGCCTTCTGCGGCGTGCACGACGCGCGCGATCTCGACGCCGCCTTTGCCGACGCCGGCGCGGATCGCGCCCCCCGCGGAGTGCGGGTCCTCCGACTGCTCCTCGACGCGCTGGAGGAGTGGTGCGGGGACGGCGGCCGCGCCCAGGCGGTGGCCGAGGCCCTGCTGCGCAGGCTCTTCAACCACCACGGCGTGGCGTGCGCCGAGGGCCACGCCGGCTCGGCATTGAGGCTCGGAGACAGTGGTAGCTCTAAACCGGTCCAAGCGCGCCAGTTTGCCGAGCTGCATCCAGCCGTTGTGCCGAGGGCCCCCCCCCGAGGGCCAACTCACCGCATGCCCCCGATAATTTAGCATAGTCCCCCCTTCCCACCAACCTCATGATGAGCTCCGGCCAAGACAGTCTTGGTCGGCGGTGGGGAGCGGCGGGTCCGAAGTTCAGTATCACCGGGGGAAGTGGCAATCGTATACCGTATATGGAATATCCTTACCATGACTAGCAGTATCATCATCATCATCATCATCATCATCATCATCATCATCATCATCATCATCATCATCATCATCATCATCATCACCATCACCATCACCATCACCATCACCATCATCATCATCATCATCATCATCATCATCATCATCATCATCATCTTCATCTTCATCTTCATCTTCATCATCATCGTCATCGTCATCACCATCATCACAATCACCATCACCATCACCATCACCATTATCATCATCATCATCATCACCACCAGCAGCAGCATAAGCATCAGCATCAGCATCAGCATCAGCATCGGCATCAACAACAATGTTATCATCATGGGCAGCATCACCAGTCGCATCATCAATATCGCATGATCATCACCATCATCAGGATCAGCATCAGCATCATCATCACCATCAGCATGATCAACATCTGCATGGTTATCATCATCATTTATCGTTGCATTACTAGTCGTGTAATTATCTGTTGTAAGTATGATATCGTAATCCCGTTATTCGGTATCGTATACGTATAAGACTTTGTAGGTGTGTATCATAAGAGTTGTGCTCGTATTATTGTCATTGTCAGCCTTATAATTCGTAGTCTTACTTTTATTATCATTACCATCAGCATCATCATTCTCATTCTCATTAGCAACATCATCAGCATCATCTTCGGTATCTGTCGTAGGGCCCCACGCTTGCACACCACACACACACCGTTCGTGGCCCCACAGGGAGCTCCACGGAAGGTTCCCGTCGCGGTGCCCGCATGTGTCCGCGCCCTTCGTCGAGTCCAGTTTTGCACACTTCTCGCACAGTCCGTCACCCCAGGGCCCCTGCTCCTGCTCGCCCCTGCTCAGGCCCTTGCTGCTGCTGCTGCTCCTTCTCCCTTCTCCTCCTCCTCCTCCGCCCTCCTCCGCGCTCCTCCTCCTCCTCCTCCTCCTCCTCCTCCTCCTCCTCCTCCTCCTCCTCCTCCTCTTCCTGCCCCTCTCAAGCTTGCCCCCCCTTCTTCCTTTCCGCAGCCGCGGAACCTCCGAGCCTCTGGGAACATCCTTCTTTCTGCTGTGACCTGCTGCGAAAACGTCACTATCCATCCGCAGCCTCGGGCTTCATTATCCCCACCCCTGATTCTTGGAGGCATCGGGTTAATCACGATAGGTTCGTGTCGTGTCGATGCGGCGGCGATCCCGCCGCGGGTGTTTGCAAGGTTGAACGCCGCCGGTGTCCCAGAACCGGCCAACTTGGAACGATATGGCGATCGAGGGGCCGCCGATCGTGCAAGGTTGAACAATCCACTCCGTGTCAAAAACCAGCGCCAGGGTCGTCACGACGCGAACCTTCCGTGCGCCAGCCCGCTCTCCTCTGAGAGGCGCGCCCGGGAGCTGCCAGGGGCAGCTCCCGACGGCGGAGGCGCGGTCGTGGCCTCCGGAGCCACGGCATGGCACGAGGACGGGGGCGCGGTGCTGAGGCTGCGTGAGTTGGTGCGGCAGCCGCGGCACAGGTCCGGGCTGCGCAAGATGCTCGACGAATCGGCGTGGCCAGCGGGCATCAGCAAGTCCCCGTGGTGCGGCGTGCTGGACCAGTTCCTCTACCGCGTCGCCCTCGTGAAGCTCCTCGGGCGCTGGCAGGAGCCTCAGAGGAGGAACACGTGTACCGATACCGCGACCGCGACCCTTCCCTCGCCACAGCTGGATTCGCCAGAAATCCCGGTCAGACCGCATCCCGGCGATGTCTGGAGAGTAGCGGCATTGGTAGAGGAGGAGGAAGAGGAGGAGGAGGAAGAGGAGGAGGAGGAGCAGGCCTCTTCCTCCTCCTCCTCCTCCTCCTCCTCTTCCTCCCTCCTCCTCCTCCCTCCTTCTCCTCCTTCTCCTCCTCCTCCTCCTTCTCCTGCTCCTTCTCCTCCTCCTCCTCCTCCTCCTCCTCCTTCCTCCTCTCCTCCTCCTCCTCCTCCTCCTCCTCCTCCTCCTCCTCCTCCTCCTCCCCTCCTCCCCTTCTCCCCCTCCTCCTCCTCCTCCTCCTCCTCCTGCTCCTCCTCCTCCTCCTCCTCCTCCTCCTCCTCCTCCTTCTAGCGACATTGGTACTCGTATTCTCTGCGTCCCAAGAGGGGCCAGACATCGAGGGGCCATGGCGCGAGCACCTGCGCCACCTCGAGCGGACGGTTCGGCTGGGCAGCGAGGGGCCCGGGCCTGCTCACCCGAACCAGCTGGGGCAGGTCGCAGCGGGCCCGCGCGCGCGCGGCCGAGCGTAGGATGGCCGCGGCGTGCCCACCCGGGCCAGCTCGAGCAGGTCCAGTGCCAGTGGTAATTCTAGACGCTTCGCGTAGCCCCGCCAGCCCATCCAGAAGCGGTGCCCAGGCGAGAGGGATGCCCTGATCGGGATACCACGTAGTCGAACAGTGGGCTGAGTGAGACGTCGTACCCCAAGGGGGGGAGGACGGAGGAGGAAGCGGATGTGAAGCAGGAGGAGGAGGAGGAGGAGAAGGAGGAGGAGGAGGAAGAGGAGGGGGAAGCGAGGAGGAGGAGGAGGAGGAGTAGCAGGAGAAGGAGGAGGAGGAGGAGGAGGGACATGGGGAGGGGGAGGGAGGAGGAGGAAGGACGAGGAACAGGCGGATGAGGAAGAGGAAGACGACGAGGAGGAGAAGGAGGAGGAGCAGGAGGAGGGCGAGCAGAAAGGCCAGATGCCTCTTGGATTCTCCCTAGGGTTTCCACGGACTTCGTCCACGAGCTTCTTGGGGTTCTCTTGGAGCGTCTCGTGGGTCTCTTGGCAGTCCGGAGGGGGCATCTTCGATCTTCTTGGGTGCCTGTCTGAGGGCCTCTTGAGGGCCTCTTGAGGGTCTCTTGGGATCCACTTGGGGGCACCTTGGGGCATCTTGGGGGCCTCTTGGGGCCTCCTTGGCACCTCTTTGGGCCGTCTTAGGAGGAGAAGGAGGAGGAGGAGGAGGAGGAGGAGGCGGAGGAGGAGGAAGAGGAGGAGGAGGAGGGGGAAGCGAGGAGGAGGAGGAGGAGGAGGAGGAGGAGAGGAGGTAGGAGGAAGGAGGAGGAGGAGGAGGAGGACATGGGGAGGGGGAGGAGGATGAGAAGGATGAGGAACAGGCGGAAGGGAAGAGAAGACGAGGAGGAAGAGGAGAAGGTGAGGAGGAGGAGGGCGAGCAGAAAGGCCAGATGCCTCTTGGATTCTCCTCAGGGTTTCTACGGACTTCGTCCACGAGCTTCTTGGGGTTCTCTTGGAGCGTCTCGGGGGTATCTTGGCAGTCCGGGGGGGCCTCTTCGAGCGTCTTGGGTGCCTGTCTGGGGGCCTCTTGAGGTCCTCTTGAGGGTCTCTTGGGATCCACTTGGGGGCATCTTGGGGCATCTTGGGGGCCTCCTTGGGGCCTCCTTGGCACCTCTTTGGGCCGTCTTAGGAGGAGGAAGGGGAGGAGGAGGAGGCGGAGGAGGAGGAGGAGGAGGAGGAGGAGGAGGAGGAGGAGGAGGGGGGGGCGAGGAGGAAGGAGGAGGAGGAGGAGGAAGAGGAGCGGAGGAGGAGGAGGAGGAGGAGTAGGAGAGAGGAGGAGGAGGAGGAGGAGGGACATGGGGAGGGGGAGGGTGGAGGAGGAGGGGGGGGCAGAGAGTAGGAGGGGGAGGGAGGAGGGAGGATTAGGAGGACATGGGGGGGTAGGGAGGTAGGAGGAAGAGTTAGAATGAGGAACAGGAAGGCGGATGAGGACGAGGGAAGACTAGGAGGGGCGGAGGAGAAGGGTAGGAGGAGGAGGGCGAGCAGAAAGGCCAGATGCCTCTTGGAGCGTCTCGGGGGTCTCTTGGCAGTCCGGGGGGGCCTCTTCGAGCGTCTTGGGTGCCTGTCTGGGGGGGCCTCTTGAGGGCCTCTTGAGGGTCTCTTGGGATCCACTTGGGGGCATCTTGGGGCATCTTGGGGGCCTCTTGGGGCCTCCTTGGCACCTCTTTGGGCCGTCTTAGGAGGAGGAAGGGGAGGAGGAGGAGGCGGAGGAGGAGGAGGGGGAGGGGAGAGGAGGAGGAGGGAGGAGGAGGAGAGGAGGGGGGGGCGAGGATGAGGAGGAGGAGGAAGAGCTCAGGAGGAGGAGGGAGATGGGGAGGCGGAGGGGGAAGGGGGAAAAAAAAGGGGGGGGGGGGACAATATGGGGGTGGGAGTAGGGAGGGGGAGGGGGGGGAGGGGGAGGAAGGGGGGGGGGGGGCGAAGGAGGGGAGGAGGAGAGACGAGCAAGCACAGGAGGAGGAGGGAGAGGAAGGGCACAATGTGGAATAGGAAGGGCAGGGGGGGGGGGGGGTGGAGGGAGGAGGAGGAAGGATTTTAGGATATGGACAGGGCGGATTTTGATGACGGAGGACGACTAGGAGGAAGGAAAAGGGGTTAGGAGGATGGGGCGAGCAGAAAGGCAAAGAGGCCTCCTGTTGAGCGGTCTCGGGGGTCCTCTTGGAATTCCGGGGGCCGGGCCTCTCTTCTTCGAGCGTCTTGGGTGCCGGTACACTGGGCCTCTTCCATATTGAGGGCCGTGCTTGTAAGGGTCTTCTTCGGGTCAACAGCTGTGGGCACCTTGGGGCATCTTTGGGGGGCCTCTGGGGGCCTTTGGCACCACTTCTTGGGGCCGTCCTTGGGCTTTCTCTGGAAGCCTCGGGTGCTAATCGGGGGCCTCCATTTTTTGAAAAGATCAGAGGGGGGGGGTGGGGGGGGGGGGGGGGGGGCTCCTTAGTTGGGGTGCCCCCCCCCCCGCAGGAGGCCGGGATGTTGCCAACACCATAGTACGCTCTGCGTTGCTGGCCTCCTCGCCAAGGCCTCGTGGGTTGTCTTGGGTGCCCCTGGGGGTCTTCTTGGGGGCCCCTTAGGGGATCTCTTGGGAGCCTCTTTGGAGCTATTGGGGGCACCTTTGGGGCCTCTTAGGGCCTTGGGGCCGTCTTGGGGCCCCCTTGGGATCTTGGGGCCACTGGGAGGAGATCGATCACAGGAGCGGGGCCCCCGAATTACCAGGAGGTGCGGCCAAAACCATTGTCAAATCAATGTTGGCCCCTGAGGACTCCCGAGGGGGGGGGGGGAATGTTGGCCCCCTTCGCCGAGGTCTTTTGAGGCGTCTTGGGCGCCTCTGGGGGGCCTCTTGGAGCCTTTGGGGGGTCTCTCGGGAGCCTCTTGGGGTCCTCTTGTGGCCTCCTGGGCACCTGTTTGGACCGTCTTCGGGGGCCATCCCAGGGCCTGGGGCCATCCAGGAGGAGGGAGATGGATCAGAAGGAGGGGGGCTCCTTCCTCAGGTTCCCTTCTCTTTGGAGGCCACAAGATTGCCAAAACCTTTTTGTAACATCGATGATCTGGGCTTTCTCGCCGAGGCAGTTTTTGTACTCTCTAGCCCTGGCGACCCCTGTCTCAGACCCAGGAGGAGGGGGTATGGGGGAGAGGTCAAAGCACCCTCCAGATAGCAGGCCGTCCAGCTCTCACTCACCGGCCCCCCCAGCACAGGAGTATAGCACCCGGGCCTCAGCACGTTCAGCGGTCGTCTGTGGATCCTCCTCCTCCTCCTCCTCCTCCTCCTCCTCCTCCTCCTCCTGTACAGCTGCTGGGAACCAGCACAGCCCCCATGTGCGCGACGCCGGGGCGAGGTGCGCCGCGCGTGCCAGGCGCGCCGCGCGCGCCAGGCACCCCCTGGGGCCCGAGCGTGCCAGGCACGCCTGGTGCGCCAACTGCGCCACGTGCCTCCGCGTGCGCCAGGTGCGCCGCACACTCCAGCCGCGCCAGGTGCGCCACGTCTGGGGCACACGCCAAGTGGGCCAGGTGCACGTGCGCCCGCGCACGTGACCGCACACATCGGGAAACATGTCGGCCCCCGCCATCCCTGTCGAAAACCAATGCCCATCATTGTGCCTAGTGGGCCTGCGCACAGCAGGCCATACGTTACGCCACCACCGCCGCCGCCCCTCTGTCAAAAAAAACATTGAGAATGATCGAGGGGTGGCCGCGCATGGTCCAGATTTTGTCGCGAGGTGCATGTTGTACAATGTTTTGTCAAGGATAGTGGCCCTGCGCACAATATGCTGACACCCACGCCGCCCTGATCAAAAACAAGACAAAATGCTCGTAGGCCTTACGAACATGAGCTCCGGACTTTGCCCCGAAGTGTACCTTGTATTGTTTTTTGACTGGGACAGTGGGCGGGGGGCCGCATTGGGTTGCTTGCACATGCTCCGAATTTTGAGGCAAAGTGCATTGTGGATTGTTTCTTGATAGGGATGATGAGGTGTGGGGGGGGCCATCATGGTTCCTGGTTGGCCGCCTGTCGCCTGGGGGATTTGGGTGCGGAGTAATAGGGAATATTAGTCAAGACACCCTCCCCACCCGCAAGCTGTCTCGCTCACTCCCACCCGCCCTCCCAACACATGAGTAGCACCCGGGCCTCAGCATGTTCAGCGGTCGTCTATGGATATGCAGCTACTGGGGACCGCTACAGACCCCATGTTCGCGATGGGGCGAGGTGCGCCCCACGTACCAGGCGCTCCAGGTGCGCCAGGCACCCCTTGGGCCCAAGCGTGCCAGGCACGCCTCGCGCGCCAGAGGCGCCACGTTCTCCACGTGCGCCATGTGTGCCGCATGGTCTAGTCGCGCCAGGTGCGCCACGTCCGGGGCACGTGTAAAGTGTGCCAGGTGCGCCCGCGCCCGGTCAGGGCTCGCATGGGCGGCAAGGGGCAAGAGATCGAATCGCCGATTTGGTTGTTTCTCCAAATCGGCTCATCTTAACTAATTGGTCATTAGCACCCCCCCCTTTTT